GGAAGGGATGGAAGGCTGAGTCAACCTTGAACCGATCAGGATCGAACTCCTGGCAGTGGGCAGAGTGAGTCTGCGATAGAGCATTCTAACCACTGAGCCACGAGGAACGAGACTAAGAAAGGGAGGGAGGGAGAAAGGAAGGAAGGGCAATAGAACTTAAATTTATATATCGCTTCACAGTGCTTTATAGCCCTCTCTTAAGTTTGCAGAGTCAGCATATTGTTCCCAACAATCTGGGTCCTCATTGTAAGCCACTTAAAATCAAGTGGGTAAGCAGCCCCCAGGTGTTATGTATCAACACAGGTAGTCCTCGACTTACAACAGTTCATTTAGTGGCCATTCAATAGCAATAGCACTTAGACTTATATACTGCTTCACAGTGCTTTATAGCCCTCTCTTAAGTTTGCAGAGTCAGCATATTGTTCCCAACAATCTGGGTCCTCATTGTAAGCCACTTAAAATCAAGTGGGTAAGCAGCCCCCAGGTGTTATGTATCAACACAGGTAGTCCTCGACTTACAACAGTTCATTTAGTGGCCATTCAATAGCAATAGCACTTAGACTTATATACTGCTTCACAGTGCTTTACAACCCTCTCTAAGCGGTTTATAGAGTCAGCCTCTTGCCCCCCAACAATCTGGGTCCTCATTTTACCCACCTCAGAAGGGAGGGGGAAGGCTGAGTCAACCTTGAGCCTGGTGGGATTTGGACTGGCAAATTGTAGGCAGTCAGCAGAGGTAGCCTGCAGTACTGCTCTCTCACCACTGCGCCACCGAGGCTGCAATAACTTTAGTACTGGCAAGACAGACAAGAGAACTGGATAAGGGAGAGACCATGGGGATGGGGAAAATATAATTCCTTCATGTTATGGTTTCTCTTATTATTAACCTGAGGCTGCTCTTAATATTTATGTTTTGTTTTTTTTCCCTTCCCAGAATCAGGATCACTATTCAGTTCTTGGATTGGGAAGGTTAAGATACAAGGCCTCTCAGAAACAGATCAAAGCAGCTCGTAAGTTTGCCAAGCGTTCGTGGGAAATTGGTAAAATAATAAAACTTCTTCTCCCCAAGTTGAATTGTTTGTCTCGTCACAGTTGCTCATAGGCTGCAAGGTAAGAGTGGGACAAGGGGACAATTTAACGTCCTTCCTTCAACTAGATTACACCCTCCTGGACAAGATTACATCCATATCTAACTGGGGTAACATCCATGTGCCATAAGATTCTTTTTTTATTATTGTTTTAAACACTTAAACATATCGACAAAAACATGCACATAACTTACAAACAACCCCGGAACTGCATGTTCCTTTTACAGCAGGTACCTATCGGTGCATCTTTACAGTTATTGTTTCCCCTACTATACATTCTAATTTTACATTTGTGGCCATTTGGTTTCTTATTTCTTTACTTAGTTGTTTATGTTTAGTCATTTGTATCAGACAATCAAATGTCCCTTGTTCTATTGTATATCTTTTTCTACTTTTGTATATCCTATTTTTCCCTACCTTCTTATCACTCTCTCCTACTTCTTCTACAATACATTTCCTGATTTCTTATTTCTATCATCTAACCATTTGTACCATTTTCCCCAAACTAAATGGTTACTCTTTTTTTCCCCCCAATATATTTTTATTATTTTTACATTTAAAACAATGCAGTACCGCAAAGTCGAAGTGACCATACNATCTATCTACTATCTAGCACTGATGATGTGACCTAGTATGGTGATGAAACGTCTGCAGGAAAACAACCAAGCTCAGAGAGCAGCAAGGATTCCCCGTGTCAACCCTGAGCTATAAATATTCTCCTTTATTTAGTACAGTAAAATTATGCTGTACTTCCCAATCTCTGTCTAGCTTTGTTTCTCCCATGATGCAGTTTTGAACTACCATCCAACCCAAACTCTAACAAGGTTTAAACGGAGTTGACAGTTCCTTCTGCAGGACGAGAGTTACAAGTAAACACGGATTTAATTCTATAAATGCCTTTCGTTTTTCAGCTTAGCCGGCAAATCAGTTTTTATACTTGGGGCGACTGGCATGATCCGAAGGGTCTGGATGAATGAAGACGCGTGTTTCCATTATCCAGCCTCTTTGGCCGCATTCACACAACACACGCCAGACCCGTGTTTAGGCTATTTCAACCCACTTTCCAAGAAACCGAATCACCGACTGGTTTCCCATCACACGTGAAGCAGCCCAAGCAAGCAAGCTTGCCGTACACGCATCTTTATGGACCCGACCCGGTTATAAAATAGAGTCGTGTGAACGCAGCCGCCTTATAAAGGAGCCCGGGTTACGCGTTACGCCTGGGTGAGGCTCTTTACCACGGATAGGCTTGTCCTCCTTCTCCTCCTCTTTGGTTTTGCGCTGATCGGCTCCCAAATAATCCGGCATCGCGGCTTCCCAACGGCCGGCTCAAACCCCGATAGCCAAACCCGGTTTATTCCTCGGTCTCTCGGATGCACATGCGCAGATGTTCCCGAACCAGCTCTTGCATTACGCAGCACCTCGCCTTTCTTTCCTTCCGCGACTGGGAGGAAACATCCCGCCGGAAGTAGCGCGCGGGGGAAGCAAATGGAGGTCGGACCTACTCTATGATCCTTCTCTTCCTCCTCTCCCCCCCCCGCCCTTTCCCTGGACAAATGGCAGTTATGCTATTTAATAAGAAGATAGAAGAAGAAGAAGAAATGTGTGTGATTGTGTGCCTACAGAGAGATATCTTATTAACGCATTGTGCTCTTTCCTTTTCATATTTTAAGTCATCAATGCCTTTCAGAGCTTCCCTTGCTTATATAATGCAGTGTTTTTCAACCTTGGCAACTTGAAGATGTCTGGACTTCAACTCCCAGGGAATTCTGGGAATTGAAGTCCAGACATCTTCAAGTTGCCAAGGTTGAAAAACACTGATATAATGTAACCAATAACAGATTGACAGAGTTGGAAGGGACCTTGTAGGTCATCTAGTCTAACCCTGCTGCCTGTATCTAGAGACACAGAACACAATTATATAGTTGCATGTAAACACATATGTATTAGTGTATACAGGTAGTCCTAGACTTAAGAACACAATTGAGCCCAACATTTAATGTTGCACAGTGGGACATTTGTTAAGTGAGTTTTGCCCCATTTTAGTACTGTGCTTGCCACAGTCGTTAAGTGAATCACTGCAGTTGTCAAATTAGGAACCTGGGTATGAAGTGAATCTGGCTTTCCCCTTGACATGTGTGTGTGATTGGGAACACCCAGAGATCTAGACACCTATCTCTAGATACACGGACACAAACTGTATAGATCGTATATGTGTACACACATATATACTAGTGTGTATGTATGTGTCTGTATGTACAAGAGATAATTTGATATTTAAGTATTCAAGATATATAATAACAGAGTTAGAAGGGACCTTGGAGGTCTTCTAGTCCAACCCCTTGCTCAGGAAGGAAACCTTACGCCATTCCAGACAAAGTGTTGTCCAGTCTCCTCTACAAAACCTTCAGTGATGAAGCAGCCACAATTTCAAGAGGCCATTTGTTTCACTGGTTAATTGTTCCAACTGTCAGGAAATTTCTCCTTAGTTCTAGGTTGTTTTTCTCCTTGATTTGTTTCCATCCATTGTTTCCTCTCATTCCTTCTCCTCCCCCCCCCCCTATTTTTCCTCCTTTTGCTTTTATTCAAACTCTTCCAGTGGGGAAAGAGGGAGAGATACAGAGAGAGAGAGAAAGAGAGGGAAGGAGAAAGAAAGAAAAAGAAATAGAGAAAGAAAAAGAGAGACAAAGAGAAAGAATATATATGGAAAGAGAGAGGAAAGAAACAAAAATAGAAAAAGAAACAGAATGAAATAGAAAGAAAGAATACACACACACTCACACACAGAGACAGGGAGAGGGAGAGAGAGAGAGAAAGAGAGGGAAGGAGAAAGAAAGAAAAAGAAATAGAGAAAGAAAAAGAGAGACAAAGAGAAAGAATATATATGGAAAGAGAGAGGAAAGAAACAAAAATAGAAAAAGAAACAGAATGAAATAGAAAGAAAGAATACACACACACTCACACACAGAGACAGGGAGAGGGAGAGAGAGAGAGAAACCATATAGAAAGATAGAGAGGGGGGAAAGAAGGAAGGAAAGAAAAATAGCGAAAGAAATATAAATAGAGAGAAAGAAATAGAAAGATGTGTGTGTGTATGTAGAAAGAGAAAGATAGAGAGATCATATAGAAAGATAACGAGAGGGGGAAAGAAGGAAGGAAAGAAAAATA